TAACCTATTTAATCCAATTTGGAAGAAATCCTTTTCCCCTCATCATGCAAGCATCATATGGTATCAGAAAGCGTAAAAATGAATTCACTGCCGCACTAAATTTTAAAAAAATTGTGTAGTGATTAAAAGTGCATTACTCAACAGGGTTTGTTTGTAAATGGTGCTTGATCGAGTCTATGATAGCGGTGCTATTACAGTCATATTTAGCTATAGGCCTGTTGAAAAGTACATGACTTGGCATAGTTTGTTTATAGATGATGCTTGATCATGTCTATGAAATCAGTGCTGCGACGGTCATATTTTGCTACAGGTCTGTTCTATATTGCAGCAATAAATAGTTGATATGGTACCGTTACAGCTACTTAATTTACTGTAGAAAGCTTTTTGTGAAGTATTACTTCAGATATTTCAAGGCGTTTCAACTGAAACTCAAATGCCAAAACTACTCGTAATTCATTGCTATAAATTCTGAACTGTCAATGTATTCCTTATGGTAAATTTTATTACTCCCTCCGATCCAAATTAATTGACGCAGCCTCTTTACAACCTCTATAATGTTGTATAGAGGTTGCGTCAATTAATTCGGATCGGAAGGAGTAGATCAGAACCTAGGTGATGAGGTTGTAAAATGCCAAATTTCAGGAAGAAATTAAAGGAATTGGCCCTCCATATTTTTACTTATGTCAAAGTTGTATCAGGTCAGGCTAGGTGATTAGGAGATAAGTGCCAAAGTTTAGGAAGAAATTAGAGGAAAGGGCCCTCATTAATTTCATGTGAATTTGTGATGACAGTGATGTCTGAATGTTGTGAAGTGAAGTATGAACTGCTAGCAACTTGGTTAGATTCTACAGTATAGTAAACTAAGGTGAAGTGTTCTGTCTGCGCTTGGATGTATTCCTTCTTATGCATTTTGTCTAATTACTACTGCAAGCCTGTCGAGACATTTATGCAGTGTATCTTTATGGACGCTAGCTAAATTAATGGATGCAGTTGCCCAAGTTGAACGATTTGGGTTTTTGGCGGCAAGTTATATAATTAGCATGCTTCCCTTTTCATGGCCATACTAGTGTGCACATAAAAGGATTAATTCTAACACAGTTAGCTGTGCCTTTTGTTGCATTTCTGAACTGAACTATTGTTAATTCATAGTACTTATGTTTTCACTTTACTTGGATAGAGGATGAAGCCTTCCCAGAGCTTTTGCACTTCATTTACAGTGGAACAATTAAGACAAGCGATCCTGTCCTGGTTCTCAAAGTTATGTGTGTTGCTGATAGATTTGAGGTTGTCGATTGCATGAGCTATTGTACCCAGCTGTTGATTAGTCTACCCATGACAAAAGAATTAGCTTTTGTGTATCTTGAATATGAGTGCTCAGTCCCAATGTCAGATGTCCTTCAGCCTGTGAAAGCAGCAGCCCAGGAATTTCTGGCTGACAAGTACAAAAACCTGTCAATGTGAGTTATCACATTTTTGATAAATTTGGCATTGCTGTCTTGATATATGAACTGGATGTTTAATTTGATCCTGTTTCAGGTCTGAAACTGAGTTTCTGGAAATGCCACTATCAGGAATTAAAGCTATATTCTCAAGCAACAACTTGAAGGTTTTTTCAGAGGACTTGGTCTTGGCTTTTCTGCTCAAGTGGGCTCTTGCCAATTACCCAGAAACAGTAGAAAGGCGTAGGATCTTGATCAACCATTTGCTTCCAATGGTGCGTTTCAATCAGATGAGTTGTGGAAAATTGCGATGGCTTTTGTCTTGTTCGCATTTGGACGCTCGTCATTCTGCATATATTGTGGCTTCAGCTCTTCTGTACAAGTACAGTTCACCACACAGAGTCCTTCCTGCCATATCAGATATCCATTGCAGTTTTTTGGAGCGGACATACAAGCACAAACCAGTGAAGACCATTGAATTGGAGCGTCCCCATAACCGATGTATTGCTTATATGGATCTCAAATCTGAGGAGTGCAGCAATCTCTCTCCATCCAGAAGTATCAGGTCACAAGCATTCGACTTTGCAGGGCACTCCTTTTTCCTCATTGTACAGCGCACTGTTAATGCTCAACTGGGGATTCACTGTTTCGGACTGTATTTGGCAGTCGAAAAAGGAGTATCAGTGCCAATAACCATAGAGTTCGAATTTGCAGCGAGAACAAAAGCTGTTGGTGACTTTGTGTCTAACTTCAGACATATCAAGACATTCACCAGCGAAAGTAATCAACTAGGATCCCGAGATCTCTTTAACATGTCCTGGGGTCAGGTCTTTTCTGAAGCAAGTCAATTTTTACTTGATGACATGTTATATCTTCGAGCTGAGCTGACTGTAAGGCAACCTTAGTCCCAGACCCCACTCAATGACAATTCTTGATTTTATCTGTTCTCTGACCTGCTCCGTAGAGAGGACCTCATCAACATCGTGATTTTCCGAGTTGGGTACACCAGGTGAGAATTGCACTCCTATTTAGCAGTACCCGTAACGTTTGTTCTGCCGTTGCAAAATGGAACTATGCCTTTTCTCTTTATATGTACATTCGCCACAGTGCTCACATGACAAATTATTGGAATTGAGGAAATAGCAGTTTGACTTGCTTGTCTGATGTATTGTGTTTGTCAGTTTGCTGTGCCGGTAGCATGTGATATTTCAAATGCTTAATGGGAAAATACATGAGAGTTATAATGTGATTGCATAATACCGTGTACTAATTCATGTATTTAAATTATGCTACATAAGGATAAATGAACATAAGTTTTGTATTAATCTATTCAATTGGTTAAATACGCAGTTTATAGGGCTGATCACCATATCTGTCTTTGAATTAGTTGGTTTATCAGTCTGTGGTCCGTGTTCAATCATCCCGTTTGATACCTTTGTCTTGTGTTCGGGTTCAAATCATGCGCTGCCAGTGGCATGCTGCTGCCTGTAGTGGTTTAAAGTTTGCTGACAGTTAAAGATAGATTTATACTGATTCAGAAGCTACCGACAGGCTAAAAACACTTATGTTCTGTTCCTGTAGCTGGTTTCATGATGTAGAAAAATATGAACTGTTCATGATGGCTAAAAGCACTTTTGTTCTGTTCTGTTCCATACTCAACCATGAGAAATATGAACTTGCAGAAGCTTATTCTATCATCATGTAAAATCTACTCATTCTACCATGATATATATATGCTGGTGCACTGGGCAATCTTAAATGCCGAGCTGTTTCTGAAATAGAATCTTCTTTGAGTTATCTTCACATGTGTTCTCACGTGTAGTATATGCTCTAGCGGCCATTGTGCTGTATGATATTGGGTTTTGAGGAAATTAGTGTTAGTATATGATAATGTATCAGTGCTCATCTTCTGTGCACCACCTCCTGATCCTATGACTTGATTATTTTGCTTACGGTCTCTGACCTCTATCACTTGGTTCCAGGGCATGGCTGACCGAGGCTTCCATATCTTGATGCTGAATAGGAGGCAAGTATAGGATCAGACAAGAAAGCTACCCTCTTCACCTGGGACAGTAGCGTCAATGCGTCCGCAGTTTTACTGTAGAGTGATGGCTTGGCAACGATTAGCAGTTTACCTTCGTCTCTCTGAACATTTCGGACGGTACAGTGTGTACAGCTTCCTCCAGAATAGTACAGTAGCTCTGTTAAGGAAAGGTGCCAAGTGATGCACTCTTGTTCGCCACTTCACATTTGGAGTGCTAGGAAACGATGATGTTTGTTGTATAGCGTTTTTGGAGTCTCGGAGAAATTAAACTCGATGTAGCTTTCAGGATGAATTTGTGCTGAAAGTGCCGATATCCCCACTTTTTTTTTGGTTGTTGATTGCTGCATTCTACATCCATGTTGATTTTTTTATGCATTTTGGTAGCCAGATTAGCAGTTTACTACTCCCTCCGTTCCAAAATAGAAGACTCAACTTTGTACAACTTTAGGACAAAGTTAGGTCATCTATTTTGGAACAGAGGGAGTATCTGCTAACTGTCTTGTTGAATGTTATGTGATCATCCGCGAACCATGCAGGATTTTTATTTTGAAATGAACTGGACCATGCAACCTTGGATACGCCACATGCGGCACGGCAGCAAAACCAGCGGAACCACCGAAATGCGCACGGCATGTCATAGCTGCGCTCTCATGTCGCGGCCGCGGTGGACAGTGGCTCCGCCTAGAGCCACACACGGTTGCACGTCCGCTGCCCAAAATGCTTGCCTGGAGACTCGGCCAGCACATCGACGCTGTGCCAGCTGACCGCACGCATAGACGCGCGTCCCGGCTAGCCCCCACCTGCATGTCAAGATCATTCCTAACACCTTTGCTTGGGTAAGCTCTTCCAAATCCGACATGGGCAACCGGAAGCGTTGGCTCCGCCCCTTTCTCCTCCTCCTCCTCCATCGTTGTGTTCGACGCCTGCTCCTCCTCTGGAGACTCCCGAGGAAGTGGCTGCAATCCAAGCGGCACGCTGTGCCCATCTGCAGCCGGCGCTCCAGAGTGAGTACAACGTAGGTGGTTATCCGCTGTCAGGCCAGAGCTGCGAACGACGAGCTACGAGAGGATGGGTGTGTGGGGACGCGAAGGGGAGGGAAATGGGATGCGGCTAGGATTGGGGGTTGCCGCCAGTCAGACTTGGGCCCTTCGGCGGCGCTCAGGAGCGACACCACGTGCCATGAATGCGTCCACACCATCCTCATCGAAAATCAGAGGATACGCCCGGCTGTAGCTCTTAGGAGAGAGTGAGTTACACCGAATAAGAAGGATAAGAAGGACGAAGATTTCAACACGCCGTGCCTAATCAATTTGTCAGTAAGTACAAAGCAGACAGTACATTACTTGCCATGGATCCGATGGTGAGATACAAAGAAACTTGTCAAACACGCAAAGACAATCAATCCCAGCACAGAGCAGACGCGAGCTATAGAAGCAACTAAACAAATCGATCGTTATAAAAAAAATCGATTTCTCACAAGACTAGCGAGCCAACTGTCGTGTTAAATACAATACAATAACCCTAGTTAACAAATTACAAGAACCCTAGATTAGCGGCGGGCATGGCTCCTCCGCGGGATCCGCCCGCTGACACTGGGGAATTTCCACCGTGGCCTGGCCGAAGAGCGCTGGGAATTCCTGCTGCAAACTGTCGATAACATCCTGGGGTAGCCCCTCCATCATGTGCTCCAGGTAAGAATCCAACTGGTCCTGCGGCAGCAGCTCCGGCAGCTCCTCCATCGTCATGAGCTCGAACTCGAATGGGCGCTCGTCCTGTTGCTTCACGATTGGAAAATCCTCTTCTGCCCGCTGCTCGAACACTTGTTGCAGCTCGATCAAAAAATCCTCTGCTGCCCGCGGCTGGAACGGGAACTCATCCGGTTGCATCTCGTTTAGAAGTTCCTCTTCTGTCTGCGGCTGGAACGGGAAGTACTCCTGTTCCATCCCGACTGGAATCCAATCCTCTTCTGCCATCGAGCCGGCCGCTGCTTTTGTTTTCCCTGTTTGATTGTTGAGGGAATCGAGCCGGCGGGGGCTGCTTTCGTGTCGCTACGCACTAGTAGCTGACTAAAACCTCGTGAGATTGAGATTGGGAGCAGATCGGGGGCTTTCCCGGGTATATATGGCGATGGTTCCTTTCCTTTCCCGTTTCCGACATGAGACCCAACTGGGCCGCTACGTGCACCACGCGCCAAACAGGCTTTTCCTTGCACCATACAATCGTATCCGAGTTTGCCTGTATTCCTTTCGCCAAACAGTTTTCTACGTGCACCACCGTTCTCAATTTTCGTTCACAAATTCTAAAAAGATATTCATGACTTTCAAAATATGTTTGTATTTTCCAACCTTTATTAAGAGTTTCAAAAATGGTTCTGAGATGCAAAAAATGTTTCTGTTTTCAAATTTTGTTCACAAATTCAAAAAATGCTTGCTTTCTAAAAATGTCTGGGAATTTATAAAATGTTCTCACTTTTCAAATATTGTTCAGAAGTTCACAAATATTCCTGTTTTCAATTTTTGTTCACAAATTAAGAAAAGATTACAATTTTTCAAAAAATGTTTGACTTTTCCTAATTTTGTTTGGAGTTTTAAAAAATGTTTATTGATGCAAAAAAATCTGGCTTTTCAAATTCTGTTCAGAGTTTCAAGAAATGATCCCATTTTCCCAAAAGTACCATGTTTTCAAAAACTTTAACATTATTAAATTTGTCAAAATTTGCAAAAATCTCCCTTTTAAAAAAATCATTCAAACATATTAGATGTTTCCAAAAAACACGCTTTAAACAATTGTTCACAAATTTGAAAATGTCTATGTTTAAAAAAATATTCACTTTTCTAAAAAAAATTGCATTTGAAATTCCCCAAAAAGAAATAGATCTTTTGTCGTTGATAGTTCTTACATACTTGCATTCTAAATATAGCCACCAATCTCATCTTTCGAGTGGAGAGGTACCCGCGTTCTCCACTAGGAGGTCCCTAGTTTGATCACTATTGCGCGCAATGGGCTGGGTAAAAACAACCCACCCCGTCCCGCCGAACTGGGGGGCGGCGGCGACGGGGTGGGGCGGCTGGGTGTGCTGGCTGTCGATGGGAGGAAGAGAATGACATATGAGTCACCGACCTGCAGGCCGGAGGGAGGAGTAGGCGGACGTCGCGCGCATCCGCCTCATGTTCGCGCAGACGCATGCGAGATCCAAATTTAGGCCTGAAATGAATTGCCCGGCAGACAAAAAGTGGATGCGCATCTGTTTGGGTCGGTGCATTGAGCTGGTTTTTGTGTCCGTTTTGATCCAAACGAACACGAGCGGATGAAATGGGTCGACATGCTTGAAGTCGCTCTTACTACATTATCAAAGCCCAATCTAACAGTCAAACGCCTGCGCTCGGCCCATCATAGGCCGCCGACTCGACTTGGACTTCTCCAAAACACGACAACGCGCCTCCTCAGGAACTGAAAATCCGTAACGGCCGTATCTACCACCACACCCGGTCCCTCCCCCTCCCCCCCAAATCGCTATGAGAAACTAGGGTTTACATGATGGAAATATGCCCTAGAGGCAATAATAAAATGATTATTATTATATTTCCTAAATCATGATAAAGGTTTATTATTCATGCTAGAATTGTATTGACCAAAAACTTAAATACATGTGTGGATACATAAACAAATACCAGTCCCTAGTAAGCCTCTACTAGACTAGCTTGTTGATCAAAGATGGTTAAGGTTCCCTAACCATAGACATGAGTTGCCATTTGATAACGAGATCACATCATTAGGAGAATGATGTGATGGACAAGACCCATTTGTTAGCTTAGCATATGATCGTTCAGTTTATTGCTACTGCTTTTTCAATGTCAAATATATGTTCCTTCGATCATGAGATCATGCAACTCCCGAATACCAGAGGAATACCTTGCGTGCTATCAAACGTCACAACTTAACTGGGTGATCATAAATGGGTTAATTATCCTTTTACCCTCGTTGGTGTCCATGTACTCAGTTTTGCCCTCAGATGCGAATTGTGCTCAGTTTTGCCCCTAGTCCGTGCGCACCGACTCGTTCCGTGAACTCTGCCGTCTCCATCAGGTCAACCTTTTGACTCGGCCCTTACAGGCGGGACCAGGCGGCAGAGACGACCAATTTTATTCAGACCGTTGCACGCGTGGCTTGTGGGACCCAGCAGAGAGCCGTTAGCGGGTGTGCTATATAAGCGGGCGACAGCGGCGGTGACCACGGCGACAGAGAGCACATCAGTGACCACGACGAGAGAGAGAGCACAACGGTGGCAAGCTAGCTGTGGAGGGCGCGGCGGTGGGAAGCTAGCTGTGGAGGGCGCGACGACGTTGAGATCCCATTCGGCTCCGAGCTCCATGTCTTCCTCAAGCTCCCGCGCCACCTCACGGATGCAGAGCCGGACGCGTGTGGACATGCCTGTCTTCGTCTATCCGCGGTGCCGGGCGGGCGCTGATCGGAGTGTTTCTCACACACCGAGGAACCAGAATCGTACGTTCTACGTGTGCAGCGAGAATGGGGTAAGAATCGGGGCAATTGCACCATTTTCATGGTCGGGATCTTTGAGCAATGGGTTGATCTGTTTGGTGTTCATGCAGGTGACATGCTTCTTTCTTTGGGTCGATGCTCTGGCCAAGACTCTGATGAATGAACTGCAAGAAGAGCATGAAGAATGGTTGCGCATGCTGCCACGAACGGCAGTGACCACAACACGAGCTCCGGAAGAAGAGATGGAGGGCGAAGCACGCACTGGCAGAGAGCTAGCTATTGAGCTTAGGATGTTGAAGAAGAAGGTTAGGAAGCTTGAAGATCAAGCACTACCAATACCCATTTGCAAATACTTTTGTGCATTTGTAGGTATGGTAATCGCACTGGTTGTAATGTTGAAAATGTATGGAAAGGCATGAATTATGGAGGAATTTGTAATCTTGAAATTGTATGAGAAATTCACCTAGTTTAAATGTTGGTCAAAGTTGTTTAAATGTTGAAAAAAGAGAAGAAGTGACCAAAATTTAAATATGTTGAAAAAAGGAGAAGAAATGAGGAATTAAGAAACTTTTGATCAATGAAATGCAGCTCTCTGCTCTGCCTTTCTGTCAAAAAAAAGATTGCTCTTGGACCAAATTCAGAGCGTAGAGCCAAGTGCAGGCTAGACTAATGGGCCAACTGCATCCAATTAGGCCCATTCGGGGGTTCTCTTGCGTATTTTTCTATTTTCTGTTCTGATTTAATTTAGGTAGTAAATCATAATGCTGAAACTTTTTGTGGAAGCTAATTGAATTGTTCCAGAGCCAAACAATTAAGGTTAGAAATTTTTTGGAGCTGTTAATTAATCCAATTCAAATACACCGTGATTTAAATCAAAGACCAAAATATCATGGAAAATGTGCCTCAGCTCTGGTAGAGGTTTACACCTCGTTCCAAAATAAATGAACATTTTTTAAGGGCATTGCATTGAGAGAAAAATAATTTGTCTAAAAAAATGAAGGGTGGAAAATGCACAAAAAATTGGTGCGGCTGGGGACTCGAACCCAGGACCGCGTGGGTTTGTGGTGTTTAGGGCTGCGCTGGTAACCGCTAGGACAGATGGCAAGACTTTGACATGGGTAGGGAAGGAAGGTATACATAGTGAGACTGTGAAATTTGTCAAAAAAAATAGTGAGACCGTGAATGTTTGCACACGCGTGAGAGTGGTTTTCCTTTGTTTTGCACTGAAATTCTGGAGGGTTGGAAGGTTGAAAACATATGTTTGCACTGCCACATGATTTTGGTTAGAGTGACACTTGGTTTAGGGTTAGAGTGGCACTTGGTTTAAGATTTAAAGGGAATAAATTTGCATGTTAGTTCATGACTTATTTTTTTGAATGAAACAGAGGGCTTCTCACCCCCTCTGAATTTCATTAGGGTTTTCATCACAAGTTCTCGAACTTCATGACTTGGTTTAGGGAAGAAATGATATGTTTGAGCACGGACATTTTTTAACACACATAATAAACCCTAATAACTTAGATAATATGCAACACACCGTACCATTACAATAATAAGTTCACGGACACATGACGAAACATGACACGACATGACACGACATAGAAAAGCAACAAAATAAAAAACGAAACATGACGGGCTTGACTCCGGGCTTGAACATCTTCTTCTTGACCCCCTTCTCCACCTTGGCCGCGCACGCCCCTTCAACACCATCTTCATCTTCACACCTCCTCCTCCTCCTCGTAGGGAAGGGAGTGCATCTGGCCTGGAATGGGGAAGATGCTCTCGTAGTTGGTGTAGATGTTGTAGACGGTGAAGAAGATGGCCTCACAGCCGCGCCAAAAGACTTGGCCGAGGAGCTCGCGCGCGTCAAACGGGTTGGTGAAGGTGACTGTGAGCAATAGGAGGATGCCGCCGCGGTCACGAACTTCGTTGAGGGTGAACATCCTCGGCGAGCCCCGTGGGAGGTGGGCATAGCCAGCTCCGAGGAAGGCGCGGGTGAGTTCGACGGAACCCCTCCACCTTGAAATAGCCCACACACGGAGCTCCCTCTCCACGAGCACGCCCGGTGGGTAGCGCAGCTCCAGCACGACAGGCGGACGGTTGAAGGTCGGCCCGTTGAACTACATCTTCACTTGGTCTCGCTTGGGGAGGGCTCGGTCGCTTGGATGTTTGAAGTTGGAGAGAATGGATCGGATCTGGCTTGTGGGTGGGAGAGAAAGAGAGGCACCCCATTTAGAGGCCTGTGGATGGAAGAGGAAGAGATAAAGGATGAGAATGGTGCGTGTGTGAATCTGGACGCGTGTGTGTGTATCCGGACGCGCGTGTGTATGCATTACGTTTTGCACTCTTAAATTCTTGCACGAAAACGATGCATGGGGCGCGTGCGTGCATCTGAATCACTGCATAACTCTTTGATTTGACGATGCATATGACTCGCTAGAAGGAAATATGCCCTAGAGGCAATAATAAAGTT